GCCGTCTCCGCCCACATTAAGACCTCTGCCAATCACGAGTAGGGCCGTCTCCGCCCACATTAAGACCTCTGCCAATCACGAGTAGGGCCGTCTCCGCCCACATTAAGACCTCTGCCAATCACAAGTAGGGCCGTCTCCGCCCACAGGACCACATGTTCTGCAGAGACCCCTACTTGTCTCATCCTGCAGGTACAACCAAGTGAACGCGGTCCTCACGGCCTGCAGGACCGGACTCACAGAGTGTCAGAACCTGAGCAGCACCTGGTTCAGATGGTGGATGGAGAACCCGGCACACAACCCGTGAGTTTACCTGTTTGTTAGAGCCCAACCTTCAGACAGAAACAGAAGAAGAAGAATTTATTACTCAGATCATAAAATGAGCTAAAGATCAAAGTAATAATCAGGTAGTTACTGTAATTACAGGAAGTAAAGACCATGAAGCTGAAAACACTTTTATTTTGAGCAGAAACACTGAAGCTGGTTTGAATGACCTCCATGTTTGTCCCCTCAGCATCCACCCCAACCTGCGCTCGGCGGTCTACTGCAGCGCTGTGGCTGCAGGCGGCGAGGCCCAGTGGGACTTTGGGTGGTCTCAGTTTAAAGAGGCGTCAGTGGCGAGCGAGGCGAGTAAACTCCTGTCTGCTCTGGCCTGCAGCAACCACACCGAGCTGCTGAAGAGGTGTGTTCATCTTATTCCTTAATCTGGCTTTAGCTTTAAGCTACAGTTATGGTACTTTTAGCTGTTAGCTACCATTCTGTCGCTGTTAGCTGCCATTTTGCTACTTTTAGCTGTAAGCATTTTGTGCTTTTTTTTTAGCTGTTAGCTACTGTTCTGCTAATTTTAGATTTAAGCTATTTTTGCTATTTTATCTGTTAGCTACCATTTTGCTATTTTTAGTTTTAAGCTAGTTTTCCTATGTTTAGCTTTCAGATATTGTTATCTTATGTTTAGCTTTCAGCTACTGTTTTCCTACAGTTAGCTTTCAGCTACTGTTTTCCTATGTTTAGCTTTTAGCTACTGTTTTGCTCCTTTGTCTCCTGCTCCTGCAGGTATCTGTCGTACACTCTGAACTCCTCCATGATCAGGAAGCAGGACGCCACCTCCATCATCACAGCTGTAGCTGCTAACAAGGCGGGTCAGGATCTGGCCTGGGACTTTGTCCAGGACCAGTGGGTCTACCTGTCCACAGAGTGAGCATCAGTCTGGTTCAGATCAAAGAAATAAAGATCAAGTTTGGGTTTTATTTTCCCTCAGAGGTCACGAGACCCGGTCCAACATTTGGTTCTGGCCTTTCAGGACCTGCACTGCTGCTGGAAGCTCTTATTTTGAAAAACTGATTACCTTTTTGTTTTTCAGTTATGGTGTCGGCTCGTTCTCCTTTGCCTCGTTGATCTCTGGGGTCACAGCAAGGTTCTCCACACCTGCTGACCTCCAACAGGTACGTTCTCACCTGGACCTGTAGGTAAACCCAGATGTTTGACCCAGATGTTTGAATCCAGATGTTTGAGCCTGATGTTTGACCCGGTTGTCCTCTGACAGCTGCAGGACTTCGTGGAGGAGCACAAGGCTGCAGGGTTCGGCTCTGCCTCGCTGGCTGTGAGTCAGGCTTTAGAGAGGACTGAGGCCAACATCAAGTGGGTCCAGCAGAACAAGCAGGAGGTTCTGGACTGGTTCCGCAGCCAGAGCTCAGAACTGACCGAGAGCCAGGAGGTGGGGCATTTATGAAAAGTAAATCTGAAACAAGAACAAGTTCTGGATCTGTTTAGGACCAACGTTTAACAAACAGAATCCACCCTGAACCAAAGAAACAGGAAACTGCTCCTAAAAAAAGTGTATTTGTAAAACTTTATCTATTAGTTTTAAACCTTTAAACTTGTGATTATTCAGGATGATGTGATCAGCACTGCCCCCTGGTGGTCAGGCTGGAGATGACAGGCAGCAGCAGAATTGTTCACAGCTGTTTGTTTTCAGCAATCATTAGTTTCTGCAGCCTTTTAACTTCCAGTTTTTACATTTCTACCTTCAGATAAATCAGTTTTTATTAATCAGTTTCATTTTATTTGTGTGCTTTTACTGAACAAGTTGTGTTTTCAAGTGTCCTGCTGTTAAACTCGTGCAGTTTATTATGAATAATGTTTGTGAACAGACGGTAAGAACAGGAATCTGTCTTCGTGAAGGTGAAACATCAACAAACAGAATAAAGTGGAACACATGAAGCCAGAATTGGTTTTTCCTTCTTTTATTTAGTAAAAACACAGTTCAGTTACATTTACACAGAAACACAGAGCCAAGAGGAAACAGCAGACAGACATGCAGTCATTTACACAACCAGCACTGAACCACGACCAAATCAATAAAAAAACAAAGGTTTACCAGCGTTCCACTGAGGACGGGTCCATGACCTGAGAAAAACATTAAAGTCACAAACTGAAGGAATGTGACGAAGATCAATTTTTGTCAGAAACTGCAACATATTTTCAAAATAAAAAAACGACATTAATAAATAAAAACATTTTAACCCGTTCGTCCATCGACGGTGCTGTTCTCAGCCTCAGGCCAGAAAGAGTGCAGAATAAACAGGAAGCAGGAAGTAGAAACAACATGAAGACTCAGAGACGGGTTCAGGTCTCATGCAGGACACAGAGGACAGAAAGAGACACTGTTGGACATTAGGACACAGATAAACAGCTGATTCAGGAAATCCACCTGACTTTTCACCGGTGGGACGGAGTTAGTCTGATGGGATGAAGTGAGATGAAGCAGCAAAGTTCAACTCTGAGGCAAGACTGAAAATAAATTCATCTGCAAGATTTGGCCACTTTTATCAGAACGTCTCCAGAAAAGATGGGGAGCGGGGCACCAGAACCAAAACAGAATCAATTTTATTACGTTGTTTTCAAATCTCAGCTGTTTAAAGTCGTTAAAGAAGAATCTGCCTGGGCTGTGACTTTAGTTCAGCTGAGAGACACAGCCGAACTTCAGCTACATGCCTTTAGCATGGTGCTAGCGCTCAGGGTTGACTGTCTGGATGTTATTCTTCAACAAAGACCATCGCTCCGTAATAAAATCTGAGTTCTGAGGTTCAGATCCAGATTAGGAGTTACCAGGACTCTGTCCCTCTCCCAACCCTCTTGAGGTGACTCAGTTGTCCAGTCCTCAGAGGACACTGGGACACGGCTCTTTAGGACCAGGTGGTCAGGGACATGTGGAGGACTGTTCAGTGAGATGCTGAGTCAGTCAAAACAAGCCTGTGGCAGCCATCTTTACCTGAAGCTGGACTTTCTGACACATTCGTTCAGATTTAGGTCTGGAGCTAATAGACTCTCAATACGCACAAATACACACCTGATTCACATGTGCACAGGAAGATTCACATGTGCACCAGAAGATTAACATGTGCACAGAAAGATTCACATGTGCACCCAACAAATTCATACGTGCACATGAAGATTCACATGTGCACCCAACAAATTTGTATGTGCACAGGAATATTCACATGTACACAGGAAGATTCAAATGTGCACCAACAGATTCATACATGCACATAAAGATTCACATGTGCACAACAGATTTGCATGTGCACGAGAAGATTCACATGTGCACAACAGATTTGCATGTGCACAAGAAGATTCACATGTGCACNTGCACAACAGATTTGCATGTGCACAAGAAGATTCACATGTGCACAACAGATTTGCATGTGCACGAGAAGATTCACATATGCACAACAGATTTGCATGTGCACAAGAAGATTCACATGTGCACAAGAAGATTCACATGTGCACAAGAAGATTCACATGTGCACTAGAAAATTCATATGTGCACAGGAAATTTCACATGTGCACCAGAAGATTCATAGGTGCACAAAAAGATTCACATGTGCGCCGGAAGATTCACATGTGCACCAGAAAATTCATACGTGCAGAAGATTCACATTTGTTTCATTGCACATATTTATCTTCTGGTGCAAGATTCACATGTGAATTATCCTGTGCACGTGTGAATTTTTCTGTGCACATGTGAATTATCCTGTGCACATGTGAATTATCCTGTGCAGGTGTGAATTTTTCTGTGCACATGCGAATTATCCTGTGCACGTGTGAATTATCCTGTGCACGTGTGAATTATCCTGTGCACATGTGAATTTTCCTGTGCACATGTGAATTATCTGTGCACATGTGAATTATCCTGTGCACATGTGAATTATCCTGTGCACATGTGAATTATCCTGTGCGCATGTGAATTATCCTGTGCACATGTGAATTATCCTGTGCACATGTGAATTATCCTGTGCACATGTGAATTTTCCTGTGCACATGTGAATTATCCTGTGCACATGTGAATTTTCCTGTGCACATGTGAATTTTCCTGTGTACGTATGAATGACGTGTGAGCATTTGTGAATATTCTAAAGAGCCGAAGCTAACAGCCGCTGATCATAAAAC